ATTGATAATTGAGATTGCATCTTATTAATTAAAACTACCGACTCACCCTCGCTCCGCTCGGGTTCGTCCTTACTTACGTTTTAACGTTTAGTATAGATTTCTCAGAGATGAGATATTTTCCCGCAGTAAAAAGTATCCTATATGTTGACCCGAACAACCAACACAAAAACCACTGGAGGGATTTTGATGAAATTTCATCAAAATCCCTCCAGTGCTTTTTCTGTGATGCGGTAACAGACAGACAGACAAAAATTCTAAAAACTATAGATTCGGCCTCTGTATCAATAATAATGTCTATTTCAATAAGATTTTCCAAAAAGTATTTAATGTACAGATTCGGCTTAGTTACAATTTTATTATATGTATAGATTAAAATTAAAATGTCAACTTAATGAACGCTATTGTGAAACCATGTAATTTAAATATGACCTATTCTATACATTGTATATACATCCTTTGAAAGCACTGCAGCCCACGTTTGAGACCGGGTAAAAGGTTATACTCACTTCCATAAAATCCTTAATTTTCATAATTAAAATGTAGAATGAAAACATGAAGTAAATGTTAAATATTTACTCTGTGGTTACATTATTTATAACTAGTTATTTGTGGTTGATTTCCAATAAATTGCATCAGTTTTAATTAAACGAAAGAATATTTTGTTTAATAGGGAAATATAACACGTATATATTGCTCAATATAAGCAATTTTTGTTTTATACATATTTAATACATATACCTAACTAAAACATTTTTTTGCTAACGATATAAATTTTGTTCAAATCAAATTATAAAATTATAATAAAAAAATAAAAGAAATTTTCTAAGTCGACGTTATAGCTTAAAGATTTAATTTTGATTCAATAAAATTACATAGCCGTTATGTCACTTGTCTGGCTGGTGCTGTCTTCTATATGAAACGTCACGGGTTCGATTTCCACACGAGGTAAATTATCACAGAAATATTATCTCAGTCCTCACAAGCAATGCACGAAATTGTCAATTTATCTTCAAACACAATCTTGATGTAAGTATTAAGCCGGGAACGGAGCAACACATTAAATATATACCTACATACCTATATAAAACAAAATTTCAGTTTGTTTTCAATATATAAATTTTCATAAAAATATTTTCTAACGTTAAAATCTGGTCACAAAGATTACCTGTTTTTAATAAAAATGATGTTATAAAATCTCATTTATTCACCTTCTCTTGGGCTTTCACTGGAAAAACATTGTATCTTTTTACATATAAGATGAGAAAAACTTTGCAGCATCCGATATTTATGTAACCTGTGGGATTACTATTAGATATTAGGGCTTGTATATTTATGCCTGTTTGTCTGTGATGGGCTGTTTTCCTCGAATTTATTCCGGACGTAGTTGGTAATAGGTATACATATGGACTTTATAGAGAAAGGCGACTCACGCACATTTGACATATAAATAAATAATTTTCAATTAAGAGACTTTGGACATCACACTAGAAAAGAAATTATAATATATAGATATCAAGTGTATCGTGTGCCATAAAAAATGGGTTCTTGTTTTATAAGTTAAAGAAATAAGTATATAAAAATTGAAGTTGTAGACAATCGTGTTTAAATTACATACCTCTATAATCAAAGTGCACTAATATCAACTACCAACGATTTTGTTATTATAACGTCAAATTTATTTTTGGCGTTTTAATAATATTGGTTGAGATAAAATGTTAGACCGAACTAAAAACAAATTCTTAGAGATTTATGTTGGGGGTTAATATTTATAAAAGATATCGCTTAAGAATCATTTTCTGGACTCACAACTTGTTTTTTCCCTGATAATTTAGAGGGTATATTATACTACACGTGCCTATAGAAATGCAACGTCAAAATATTTCAAATATATATAAAGACGACATTCGTTTAGATGAAGTCATATAACCTTTTTTTTAATGTCATGAAATGCCTTTATACATACAGGTGGACATGTGGGACTCACCGGCTAGAAAAGACAGTACAACGCACTAAAATCCAACAGAACCTCCTTAATGGGACGTTGCAGAATCGCTTCTGCACTCAACCACCACGCCCCAACAGCAAATCTGCCTAAGCAGACGATAACAACTATGGGGTTGTGATACACTCTGCCGTCAGAGAAGTACCAGGAGCAACAAGTATGGTGCACCGCCAACGTGAAGTGGGCCACATCCCCGTACGTTTCTTGGCCTCGCGTCCGGCTGAATTTCCGGACGCTAATGAGTATATTAACAAAAAACTCTGTTTTTAACTTTTTCTTGGTTTTTAGTTTTAATTTCTGCAATAATCTTTTGACTTTCTTGAAACTAGGGGAATGTCATCTTCGAAATACATATAATAAGATATTTTTTTTTAAATTGAAATACTTTAGCCAGAAATTTGTTTCGTGGTCTCGGGAGGCTGAAAATCACCCCCAACTTCAATTGGACGTTTACATTTAAAAAAAAATCGTTCAATTTTTAAATAGGACTCATTTTTTTTCTTGAAATCTATTTTTTGAAGAAACAAAAACACTGTATGGTTGTCCTGTAAAAACACCCGTAAAAATTGAAATAATGGGAGAAATCGATAATTTTTATATTGTAAACTACATTTTTTTAATAATCATTGAAAAAGTGTGTACTTTAATGACGATATATTTGTAAACTGATTACACCAATGTATTTTGCGATGTAAAACGAAAAAAACGGTATTAATTTTTTTTTAATTTCACGCTTATTATTTAAGTATACAATGTCGCCGTACACATTCCAATTTTGCAATTTAACTTGTGACAATAAAAGAAATTGGAAGTCACGTAAAATATACCATTTTTTTTGCATTTTCCCCCGTAGAATCTATTTATGTTATTATTTTTCGAATTTATTGATATTTTGTTAACTTTTTATCGATTTTTATTTTTCATATTATATCATGGCATTTTATTGATGTACAGTAGATTGAAGAGTGGTTTCAAATATTTGAATAAATTTTCTACAAGGATTTATCATAGTTTAAAAACAAATATTTTTTTATCATTTTGGATAGAGATTAGACTATAATTGAGTTCCATTTTTAATTTTTTTTATTTCCTTAATATCAAAATTTTCAGAAAAAATAATAATAAATATAACTCCAAAATTATTATTACGACTTTAAGTTAAGAGCACTTATTGCTACTTGTGACTGTAACTAGTGAAGAAATTTGGACTTAGAAAATTTGCGTAGTTTTAACGCTTAGTACAGTTTAGATTAAAAGCTAAATCGGTTAGACGTGGAACTTATGTCCGATATTTGTTAGTAATTTAAGGTTTAAGTGTTCGGACCCGGTCGGACTATCGATATTCACAATTCCCGCATTTTTCCCCGCATAATGCCAATCCCCAACAAATCCCCAATTAGCTTGAGATTCCCCACAAATTGGCAACGCTGCTAATGAGATAAACCCCCCCCCCTCCCCACCACTATACCACCATCTTACCACGACAAGGTGAACGCACGTTGGGGCGAAAGTCATAATATAACCTTATACAATATGATAACTGCAACATGTCGTAATTTTAGATGTAATAGTAAAATGCTATAAATGTCATAGATATTTATAGGAGAACTAGATATTATATTGTTCTTTATATTTAATTGGCAAAATTTAATAAAATCAAAACTAAAATTGATTATTTTTGTAGCCACGACCTGTATTGTAATGAGCTTTTTTAAATAAAACTAGCACTAACACTCGAAAATTCGGGAACATTTAATTAAAATGAAACCGCGAAGGAATCTGAAAAGATATTTGCGAAAATTTAACATACCTTAATTCCTTTTTTATTTTAAAAGTAAATATTTTTACAGGTTTCTTGAAATATATTTCGGGCTGCCCTAAAGGTATAAGTTACTTATTAAAAAATCATGAGAATGGAAAAATATCACATAGCACACCACGACCAAGATATTATAACCGAATTTAGTACTTTGAACGAACTTTGAAGTTGTTCAAAAAATACTGAAACTGATTACTTCTTAAAGTTTTTTACGTAACAATTTTAAGTAAACAGTTATACATATATTAATTCAATCGTACCTAATAATTAGTAGCTCGTTTTACGGTTTGTTACATATTTTTTGCTAAAAGCTTTCAAATAAACCTTGTTTGGTAGTTCCCACAGGCGTGGCCAGAAAAATAATTGGTGCTACGGCTTCTCATTATTTGTATATATGTACCTATGAACATATATTTTTAACAATAGGAAATAGCACACAAAAATAGTGCACAACTAATTTCCAAGCTATTGTTATCTCACGATTGTATTTTAGATGTGAAGTGGGACATAAGAATATTTGAAATTAAAATATTGATTAAAGCCAGATTTCTTTATTGAGGTTTTTAAAGATGTGATTATTTTATCAATATTGCCGTTATGTTATTTGTTTAATTCAAAGCCTAAATTAAACCTTTTTTAATTTTTCTATATGTCTATACAAAATTCGCATTTAAAATATACGAGCAATTTTAATAAATATTTATTTGGAATGAAAGTTTTTTTTTGGGTCAGACAAATTTCATATTCCAACCAATATATCATCCCACATGGATATCCAGTTCCTGCCAATATATGTACAACTATTCAGTAACATCAACATACATACATAAAATATCTGAACTTTGGCATTTTAGACATTGACTTTGCACGAAATAAATTACATGAAATATATTTAACAGTTAATAGATTTAATTAATTAAGAACACTGAAAAAAAGATTGCTCTTTTAAAAACTCTACAGATGCCTCAAAAACTTGAAGTTATCCCTCTAACTTAGAAACATCCGTCTCTACAGCTTCAAATATTTCAGATCGTTCATTTAATATTTATAGTAAATAATTAACAATTCATCCAAATATATATTAAGTTTATTCAATCTAACACCAAACTCTTTAACAAATCATGCAACCAACAGGTCAATAAGAAACAATAAGATAGCTACAGGTGAGGCATTACTTACCCACAGCTAGAGAACACGTACACTTAGTTTCGAAGAGCAATTTTCTCTAAACACACATCTGCATGCTTTTCTACTTTATGCTTACATAAAACACTCGGTGATAAAGTAAAAGTCGGTAGATTTTCCTCCTTATCGAGACACGGAGGTTTTGAATGTCAGCTATGTACTGTGGCTAGATAGCAGAAAACTTGGTAAGGCCAACTGCGCATGATCCACGAAATAAAGTTAGCCTTCACATAGTAACTTTCCTTGTACAAAAGCCCACAGTTTTGTAAAGTAGCGTAAGCTCTATGAAGGCTTCGTTATTATTATGACGTATTCGGGGTAAATGAATTACGTCCAGAAGATACGGGGGTTGTTAATTAGCACCTGCCTTCTTTTCTTTTTAAAATAATGAGCGTACATATTAATTTGCGTTCTAGGAAATGATTTATAGCGAAAAAGCTGTATTTGTCTCTATAAGCCCTACTATAGTCTAAAACTGAAAAAGTTGTCATGTGACATAAAATATTAATAAATAAGCTTAATGAACTTAATTTTATTTTGAGTGATAATATATTAGCTTTTATTTTATATCTATATCATTTCTTATGATTCTTTCTCTCTCTTTTACCCTCATAACTAAGACTAAACTAAAAAAAAACGTAATAAAATTACATTAGTAACAATTCTTGACATAATCTATATCGACACGAACGGTACTTGTGTTAAATAGTCCTTTAATTATCTATCTATACTATAATAAAACAGTAGAGGTCAAATGTCTGTACATAGCAAAAAAAATGCTAAAAACCGAGTCAGGAGGATGTAAGAAGACAAATAGAACAAATCTAGATTTTTTTCTAATTTTTTGTTTCTCTGTCTGTTTGTATGGGCTAATCTCCGGATCTATTGGACCGATTTAAATGAAATTCTGCATAGTGGTACCTTATATCCAGGATTAACATTTTAGATCTTAGACTTTTCATCACGGAAAATTAAAGAGTTCCCGTGGGATAGTTAAAAAACTATAATAACTTATACAGGTTAGTACACAACAACTTATGCACCTAATTTGGTAAAATTTAACATTCTGATACCTTATATTGCCGGTCAAACAACAGGTTACTTTTCATCACGGAAAAATTAACGGTTCCCGTGGGAAGTAATAGATCTCTATTAGTGTTTTTCTAGAGTTGAACCCGAGCGAAGCGAGGGTGAGCCGCTAGTATAAAATAAATCTTTAACTACACCAGGTATTTAAAAACATTTCGTGTGAAAATAATGAAACTAAACTACATATTCACTCAATTTGAGTAATAAGGTGAATATGTTGTTATAAACATGTTTTTGTATAAAAAAGTCTCATTTCTTCAAAAAGGCTATATGTAAATTATACCTATCTGTTACAATGATTTACAAGTATCGTTTCGTAACTGGAAAAATAAATTGAAAACATTCTTAAAATATTGTTGTTAGTATTATTATTACATTAAAATGAAGAAAATATACAAATCAAGTATATTACACCTAATAATGATGGGCTGTCTATTTTGGTTAGCTTTTAATTTATATTTGCCCCAATTTATATGGAGCTTGCGTTTCGCAGGAGTGTATATTTTCATTTATTGAGGTTTTTGATTATAATCTTCTCTTGCTCAAATTTGGTTCTATTTAACTAGTTGAAAATGAAATTAAGTTTTAGTTAATTTTAATATTAAGTTGTACGACATAAAAATATCTACATAAATGAATGAATGAATGGTTGAATGAAATAAATGTTTCTTTCTATGTTTGTATTCTATGCTTTCCTAAACTATGTATCATATTGTAATGAAACTTTGGTGAGATGTTCTACGAGAGAAAAAAGCATTCATCTTTGTCTTATTTACGTTCATAAGCCATTCACCCCTAGGGACATATCATACATGGACATATAGGGAGCTGCTAGTATAAAATAAAAATAATCTCATTCGAATAACAGTTTAAATATCCGTTTACATAACTATTAACACGAGAATCAAAAAAAAAATATTATCTCGACAATCACTTAATTTTTTATTTCCAAATTTACATTATTTATCGCTTACACGCATTGCTAGGACTTATAATTTTTACGATTACAGAGCACGACTTATAATTTTTTATAGGTTGTCAACGAATTTTAGATTTGCTTCAAGGGGTAAATATCTCGAGTAAATATCTATTGAAAAACAATATTTATTATAATATTTAACTTTCATTTTTTTAAATCTTATAATTTTAATTTTAATTAAAGATGTTTTTTACACGACTTACTATCTTTTTTTTTTCAGTTACTATCGGTAGCTGCGCTTTCGTGATCAAAGGAACATGGATGAAAAATTACCTATGTCTCTGTGATGCTATCTAGTGTTCAGCGGTTTAAGCGAGAAAAGGTAACAGATAGACAGATATAGATATGCACTCTTACTGATGAATAAGATTTTTTTATCTACTTTGACTAGTCTGCCATATTCAATTCAAACTCGATTTAGATACTGGTGTAATAGTTCTTGTAAAAAATATAGTTTTATAGTTGACCTTCCTTTGCTCAAGTAACTACGTTTTTACTGTATTTATAAAAACATCCAACATCAAAAAAAAATATAAAACATATATGGTATTAATATGGTACATTTCTGATACTTTGTAAAGTGAGCGTTACGGAGTATCTGCGTCATCTATTTTCCTGAACCAGAAAGCACCTTGCATATTTTTGAAGTTGATCATTATAATTTTCTATTTTTTGCTTTTTCTAAGATTCGGCTCCTTTTCTTTGTTCCTGCAAAATTGACATTTATTTTTATATGTATGGAAAATTATAATTATATATTTTTTACTATATACGTAATAATAATTTATTACTATGTAAATAGGTTAGTAGTAAAACATAATGAAGAAAATAAATCTAACTTTAGATAAATCTGAATAAAATTGAGATACTACAGTTTTGCAGAATATATGTAGTTTATAGTACATAGTATGTACGTTAAGTAGTTTTTGAGATATAGCATTCATTTTTTTCCATTACATATTTAAGAGGTAATATGAAACACGAACTTATTGTTATTTGTGTGTACGTAACCCTGGATGCGCGAGTAAGATTCCCATTTGTGCGATTTTTATATTTATAGTCCAGACTAAAAGTTTCATTTAATAATAATTTCGGCTATCAAATATGGTAGTACTATATAGCCGAATATAAAGTCGAAGAGTGTTTTTGTTAGTGTGAACGCGGCTAAAACCACGTACTTGCTAGTTTATAATACAGGTAGTACCAATTTTTAGCAAATTTTATTACTAACAGTAGCATATATCCGTGTATTAAATTTCATTCAAATCCGTCCAGTAATTACAGTGTGAAGGAGACAAACATACAGCGGGTGTGTATATATACAAACTGTCACATTTATAATACACTAGCGACTCACCCTCGCTTCGCTCGGGTTCGTTCATAGCTTGATTGATTCCCAGTACAAACTTTTATCCCGATAAAAATATATAATAAAAAAATTTTAACAAAAAAATAAAAACCGACTTCAAATAAAAGCACTAAAAAGTAAAAAATAACTGATTGGTAGTTTTCATTTACTATACATACCTAATCAAATATTTTCGAAGTCGGTGTGCTTTGCTTTGTATGGGCTGGCACCGATTTCGAAAATATTTGATTAGGTATGTATTTAAAAGGTAGGCTTTAGTTACTTAGCCAAAGCACACCGACTTCGAAAATATTTGATTAGGTATGTATAGTAAATGAAAACTACCAATCAGTTATTTTTTACTTTTTAGTGCTTTTATTTGAAGTCGGTTTTTATTTTTTTGTTAAAAATTTTTTATTTTTCCCTTTTTAGTGTAGACAGTAGTAGCAAAGTAAGAATTCTAACGTATTAGGCTTGTCAAATCAAACAAAATAAGCCCAAACTCAAAGTATAAACTATTAGCCGTTGAAGAGTTCCACCTATCCACCTTCTGGCCTTGCCATCAGATCAGGTCAACAACACCGAACCACTATACTATCAACGGAAATAGAAATACTTGCAAACTTTCAAGTCAATATGACAATTAGAAGTAGGTTAAATTCATAATTTGTTGTTTTTCCACCTTTAGGGGTGGTATTGTTTTTTTAAATTTAAATGGGACCAATCTGGAAGTATACCCTTTCAAACAAAACAAAAATTGTCCAAATCGGTTTATAAATGACGGAGTTCTGAGGTAACAAACATAAAAAAAAAAAAAAAGAACATACAGTCGAATTGAGAACCTCCTCCTTTTTGAAGTCGGTTGAAAAACGATAAAAAGTATCCTATGTCCTTCCCAGGCTCTCAAACTATCTTCTTACTAAATTTTATCTAAATCGATTCAGTAGATCCAGGGATTACCCCCCTACAACCTCACAAACTCACAAACTTTACCTCTTTATAATATCAGTATAGATTGTAATATTTTAAAAGAAAAATCAGAAATTGATACTATCGAGGAATGAACGATGATTGCAATATCAAAATGAATAGACACCTCCCACTAGACTCACTAAAAATAACGTAAAAACTTTGGAAACATCGGTTTAAAAATAGTATTAGGTATATTTAAAAAAAAACCTATAAATCTCGTTATATGTTAAAAATGTAGCACAATTCTGTGTTTTAATTTAACACTTATTATTTAGGAATTATTGCTACCATTTGAAAAAGCCTAGTTGAAAAGTTAACAGGGATCTGATAAATCCGTCTGGTATCTCAGTGGTCAGATTGAAGTCTCATGAGACTGAGACAGTGAAACGAATATACTGCACTCTCTTTGATTGCACTGATTGGCTGCCGTGACTAACGATAATTTAGTACCATAAGGACATTATTCTTATCTTTACACGTATAAAATGAAGTCGCCGATTAGAGTCAGTATATACGAGTACGTACGTATGCGCGCGCTAATGTCGGAATGAAATGCTGAACGAATTTGAATAAGGTTTTTACTATTATATGCTGTAAATATCCAGAAATATGGTAAAACTAAACTTATGCATAACAATCAGTTACTGTCACTGATACCAGTCACTGTTACTGATAGAAACAATTTTAAGAAGGAAGTAGAAAACTAAGTCTTAACTATGCTGTCAAAGCGTGGGCACGTCAAAGCTGGTTCACAAACTAAAGGTCACACTGCTATAGAAAGAGCCATGCTTGGGATTTCTCTGAAAGTCTAATTTTAAAAATTATTTTTGTTAGGCAGAAAACCGTGGTCATCGACTTTGCTCTGAGGCATCTGCAGGGAAATGGATAGCTGTTGGAGCAAGTAGGCTCTCGAGTGGAGACCGCGGCTAGGTAACCCGGCGTAGGACACCCTCCTGCTAGAAGGTCCGACGACCTGCGCCGACTGGCTGGTACAGATTAGATGCTCAAAAA